AGGAGTCTGGAACTGGCTCCCTGATGCCTCCGGAGGCCTCTGCAGGGATGTGAATTGCATTCAACCCTGCTCCTTTCATTTACTGACAATAATAACGTTAACCACGTGTCTAGGGAACAGAGCCATGCTCATCTTCCTCCTTACATGTTGCCGTTTGGGGAATTGTTCTTAGTTGTTTTGGGAATTATTTTAGTTGTTCTATATGTAATAGAGAAATAAAAACTTGCTCTTTAGAGACATCAATTCATGAAAAACAATTGTCCAGGTTACTGTAATTAAACAAAGTATTTTTCCTTTCTCTGGAATGTCTCTCTGCATAGTATCAAAGGGCTGGCTTCATCTTAAATAGTACATAGTTTGACATTAAAACCATTTCCACATAGTGGTTAATTATTTTAAATAATTAAAGTAAGTAAGCACTCAGCCGCGCGACTCTGCTCAGATTACTCAGCTCATTGGTGGGCTCTCCTCAGATAATTGTTCAGTTATTTTGCAGAAAGTGTTTCAGGTTTCATGCGTCTACACATCAGCTGAAGAAAAGTTGTTCTCTTAGGTGATACAACATTACCTAAGCCTGAATCCACGTGCACTAATGCTGTCATTAATAAATTTACCTAATATCGTCACAGCTCCAGTAAATGATAGCCTAGATCACAGCCTTGCGGGATTTAGTTCTTTCTCGTCTGATGCTCGAGTGTGCTGTGTTCTGTCCTTAATGCCCCAGGATGCTCCAGGAGACCTGTTTTCTGTGTGCCACCTGCCAGGACCACTGGCCTCTCCAGCCAGTGCCCGCACAAGCTTTGCGACTTCAGGGACTGTGAAGCAGGGCACCCACATGCCCTACTTCCTGTCCACCTCTGACTCAGTTTTTCTGCCAGCAGGTGGTGGGTTTCCCACTGGCTGGGAAGCTGCATGTGCTTTGTGCCTTCTTGGTGCATCCTGTGCTCAGCCTGGGCTTCTGGTTTGTGAAGTTCAGTCATGGACTCAAGGGCTGGTCTGTCGGTGAACAGAGGACATGAAAGAGACACGGATGAAAGGGATGCTGCACCCCTTTCCCCTGTCCTGAGTTCTCTTTTCATGCTGTGACTCCACACCAGCCTTTGCTGGGATACACTGCCTGCCTTAGTGAGTATATGAAAGCTAAAGCCAGTTACTGACTGCGAGGTATACTGGCACAGATAAAGGATCGTCTGGTCTGTGCTGCTCTCATATGGCACAGGCTCTCTGCCTGGATGCAATCTGCTTTCCCAAAGGTCTAATATAATACTTGGATGCCCAGAATTGCATAATTAGCTCGTACTCTAACCTTCAGAGTTGACATTCATGAAACACTGAATTTGCAACACAAAGAATTTAAACCTAGCACCTACATCACCCCTCACTATTCCTATGGGTCTCAACTACACCTGTCTCACTTGCTTAGGACACTTAACTCTGCCCTGACCTCAACTTATGGGACACCTTCACAGAGATGGGGCAACCGCTGTCTGCACACCTGCACCTGAAGGTCTGCTACCTTCTGGGATGTGCTGTCATCATACACACTCACATCCAGCCCCTCAGCCTCTCCATATCACTTGCTTTTCAAGAAAGTTATCCTAAACAAATCATAAGATTTGGAGTCTTCACACTGGGTATGAAGAAGACAGCACCCAGTTATAGCCACACACGCTAAGTAAGTGAGACAGAATTCTCATGGCTGTGCTTGGCTTGTAGGAGAGAATGCTTGTTAAGCAAACCTACACTTGATAGAATCGGAGGTCCAGTGTCAAACATTTGTCAGAAACAAATATGGAGGCAAAGGACTGAGTCTCTCTTAACCCACATGAGAAAAGCAGTGACTCAAGCTTTGTTGGCTGTTTGTCACTTTTGCGTAGAATTCTCATTTTTGCCCAGTAGCTAAGAGAAGAGTAAGTAGATTTAATCCAGATTTAAACATGAAAAGGGATTTAGAGTAGAGAAGCTGAGGTAACCAACAGCAACCTACTTTGCGATGATGAGTATTTGGAAAGTGGTAAATAGGTATCAGGTTGACTGTGTCAGTCAACGACAGAGGAGAAAGATTTTTAAGGAGGAAAATTTTGTGGCAAGCACCAGTTCCCTGTCCTGAGAACAGTCATGGCAGTGGAAAACAGCTGAGAACCCATTTTTAAAAATTAACAGATCAGGCGTCTTCCTGTTTTCTAAAAGTATTTGTACATCCTGTCCTCACATCTCGTTTATTTTATTGTCCTTTATTTACATCACACCTGTAATTAACAGTCCTGCATTATGCTTTCAGAAACTTAAGATCTTTCTTAAGTGTGCTCACGATTTTTGAAAAAATAACAAAAAAATAAAGTATTACTCAAACTTCCAGGGTAAGGTTGCTTATTTCGCTCCCACTTGGACTTATTCTGGGAGATAATTTCTAAATGTAACATGGGATTTTTAGTTTGATTGTATATTTTAGATGTTTAGTGATTAAAAGTTTCTTTCTTGTTTTGCTCTCTAAGGATGTGTCTTATTTTGGATCACTCTTACTGATGTTCATTGCACATTTATTTACATTGCTTCTTTGAGTTGCTCCAAGCTAGTAGCTTACATGACTTTTATTTGCTCTTTCTTTCCCAGATTTCTATCATTGGCAAGTGAGGGCTAATAGTATCAACCCCATGTTTTCTGAGAGGACGTCACCTTTTAGCAGTGCTGCTCCACACCCCTTCCCATGAGATGAATGACAAACTGCCCCAATTAAGAAACCCGAACTGCACGGATCTGACAGTCCTGCCTTGTAGACGATGCCATGCACTCCCTGCATGAACTCATATGATTCACACGGATTGCTGTATGCTCTGTGCTACTGCACAGGGTCATAAGAAGAAAGTAGGCACCGAATCCTTGCTGCAACCCTTCCTGGAGCTCTTACCCTTTCTGGTCTTTGTTTTCTGTGCGGAGCCACTGATTTCTCTCACTCTCTGTGCTGTAGCTGACAGCACTCCCACCTGACCGTTGTGAAGCTGCTTATCTTCATGCAGCTATTTTCAGTTAATGGAGACTTCTCTGGCATCTTATTTGATCCTCACAATAACCAAGTGACGAACAAAGGCAAGCACAACTGTTCTTCATGTGCTCGGGTGTGTCCACGTGACCCACACACACAGCGATGCACAAAACACCCTGCTCCGATTTATGCAATAATATAGAGGAAATGTGCAAACTCAAATCCAGCTCTCTCAGCCTTCCTTATACCCTCCATTCTAATACTGTGTCTATCAAATTTTCTTTCTTTAGGAACGTTATTATTACAGGTATACTCTGCACCATTAAAATGATGTAGATAAATTTACAAAATTAATATTAGCTTAATATATATTTACTGAATGTAATAATGAGGTTAATTTTGAAATGTCAATAATTTCCTGTCATTTATCTTTTGCAAAAAAAATGTTGTTTTCCATTATAGTCTTTTTTAAGAGGAAGGAAATTCATATTTATTTTCTGCTTGAATTTCACATACATTTGAAACCCCCCCAAAAAAAAAAAAATCCAGAGTTACAGGCTAATGTAATCATAGGACTATTTTAGGACACAGGAAAACCAGTGTATTGGTTTTCCCTGTGACCTCACCTACCATAGTTAACCTCTCTGTGTGAACTTTCTCCATCTGCAAAAGATTCTTCGTAATTATACCACCTTATTATCTCATCAGTATGCAGGAATTCTAAACTCTTCTGGAAATAAAGGTCACCATAAACTCTAGGACTCACTGTCCTCCAAGCAGGGTGGTGAGAGCTGTCACTGCCGGTGGGTGACGAAAAGACAGACATTACTCTGGCTGCCACTATTGCTGAAACAAAGCTCACGTTTAGACAACATTGCTTTTCCCGCAAAAGCCAGGATTTAGCTTCAGAATCTTCATCGTCAATGGAGTCCTTGAGGGAGCTACTATGAAGTCGATGGTCTGGCTGCAAGGACATCCGAGCAAGGGCTGAAGACTGCCAGCATTGCCCAGGGGGCTGCTCGAACCCCAGAATCTCGGTAGGTAACCAGGGTTAGCAACAGTGAGTCATGCATTTCAGAGTAGCTGGTAGAGAGGATTCTGATGTTCCAAACAGAAAGAAATATTTGAACTGATGGGTAAACCTAATTGATCAATTATCCTAATTGATCATTACTAAATGTTTACATATATTGAAATATTATACTACGCCCCATAAATATGTACAATTTTAACATGTCAATTAAGTTTTTTTTAAATGTAGAATCAGTTCCACAGAATCTTTGTTAAACAAGATGCCCATTGAGTCCAGATGTGCATAAAAACTTGGAAACACTCTGGATGTGAAATCCTAGCTACATTCTGGACTCTCTGGGAAATGCGTCCGGTGGGGCTGGGGGCAGGAATACTCTGATTGGGGGTGGTTTTCTTGGATAGGTTTTGGATGTAGTCCTCAGGAGTCATATGGCCCCTGCATTTAAATTTGATAGAAAAGAAAATTAAAGAAAGGGCCCTCACTAGTGGCCCGCCTTGGAACTCTGCAGCCTTCCTGGTCTTTGCTGTCCACGCAAAGATTCCGTGATTCCTTGACATGGTCTTAACCTCGATGGTGCACAGACAGACCGGTACTTAAAATCACAAGCATCTTTTACAAAGGCAGGTCTGCTGGAAGGAAAATTATGTTCTAAATTTAACTAGAAGTGGAATCAGATCCCAGGGGCTTACACAGTGGCTTCGGTCCTGACCAGTGTCATTGTCAAAGAGAAAAGCAGTTCCAGCTCAGAGAGACCTACTGGGCGATGCTCTGGGTCCAGATTGCTGTGTGTGGCACAAACACGAGCTTCTGCAGTGTCATATAACCAAACCCCTGGCATTTTCATTAATGGAAGCTTTAAATGGCTTAGGATGCTTCCCAGAGTTGTTCCTTCTTCTAACAATGTGCGAAAACTTCCAGTTCCCTTTAAAATCACCATCAGGTCTTGTGGTGCCTGTTTAAATATTTTGAAAACTCTCTACTTACAGAGGCAGTGTTTCCACTCCTAGGGCGACATCTGGGTTCTCCTCCTGTCACATTTGATGGCTTACCATCCAACGGTTCGAGACAGACATGACTTGTTACATCTGATTTCAGCCAAGGCGGTTTTCACGCAGACCTCGGCCTCTGAAATCACACTCGTTTTGGTGTTGCCTCCCTCTTATCCACGCAGTCGGGGAAACTGAGTCTTATGAAATCAGAGCCCAGGTTTCTCTGGGATTGTCTGGCACTCACGGTCGTGCTCATGTTTGCGAAGTGTCCCCAAAGCAACTTCTGAATAAAAGGACCTGCGGGCTCCTCCTTATGTTTTTACTACATGTCACACAGGTGTCTCCAAAACTCTTTGGCACCTGTAGCAGGGGCAAAGGCCCAAAGTCAGAGCCGGTCTTCAGCTGACTTCAGAGTGCATTTCAGGGCATTCGAACAGTCATGTTAACGGCTAAATCCCTTCTTTGAACAAGTCTTCCTTTCTCCGACAGAATGTCAAAAGCAGAGAGGAAGTATGTGCTCACTGACCTGAAAACTCTTTTTCAGCTTGGTTTGATTTGGAGAATGAGAACTCTGTAACCCCATGTTTCATTAACAAGAGTTACTTTTGAAAAGCAAACTGATGAAGGCCTAACTGGTTCCACCAGTGATCACGGGAACAAAATGCGGTTAACTGCTTAATTTCTAGCATGTTGTTCAACAAGAACTCATAGATTATTCTTTTCCTCAAAGCATGTTTTGGTTACAAACTAGCAGCAGTCAATAGTCCACTCTCTGTTTTTGATGTTAAATAGGGAAAGGCAAATTCCATTTTACTGGTACTTTATCTCTGGTCTTTGCCCAAGAACAAAATTGGAATGGGCTCTAAAGTTGGAAAGAATCTTTATTTGGGGGTTGGATTATTTATTTGAAGCCAAGTAAGTGGTGTTTTACAAAGTGACATGAAATACTTACAAACATTGGCCTCCATGGGGTCACCCACTGGGCTGTAAATGTCACGGTGTTGAAAACGTCATCTTTGCTCTTCATTCCCATGTCCTTAGTACTTAGCATGGTACCTGGCATAAAATTTACTCATGCGTACAACAAAAACGTAGAAAATAAATCAAGCGGCAGTGCACCCATGCATGGGTAGCTGGTTCAGGCAGATGGCTGAAGGCGAGGGTCAGCAAGTGTTCTCTCTCTGTAAAGGGACAGATAATAAATATTTTCAGCTCCCTGGCCACATGGTCTCTGTCACAGGTGCTGTTGTAGAAAGGCTGTGTGGCAAACAGTGTGTATACGATAAGCATGACTCTGCCCCACTGTAGCTTTATTTGCAAAAACGGGTGCTGGGCTGTTATTTGGCCTGACCACTGCTGTTAGCTTAGAGTACAAAACCCTTGGACTTCGGGAGCAATCATCCTGTTCTTAGCTTTGTTCTTTTTCGTGGCCATCAAAGATGCTTCATTTTTATGCACAAGTTTAAATATTTATGGAGTAAATCACTGTCTGAGGAGCTTGGAGAATATCTATAAAATGTGCTTTCTATGCACAGGGGATTTTCTCTATAACAATCCTTCTTCCAAACTCCTCAGTCAGACAAGCTACCATTCTCCCCAGACTCAAGGCAGGGAGAGGCAGAAGGCAGAAATGTTACACTAACCGATGAATCTCCACGGACAGGACACTAGCGGGTGCAGGCAGCTACTTCCTAAAAACACTTTTTAAAAATTTAAGTAAAGATTTAATTGAAGAATAAAATGCATACAGAGGTACTGTCCAATAATATGTATGATTTGGGAGATTGCATCTTGAAGCAGAACCTAAGTGAAGAAACACAATGCGTTCCCATCCCAGAAAACGCACATTTCCCAGACATTACAATCCCGCCCCCCAGAATTAACCATGATTATGTCTTTAACTACCTGACCTACTTATACCCATCTCCTAGGATGTGAGCAGAGCATACAGGCATTGCAGAAGTAACTTTGGCACCTACGTATTTCAACTTAGAGTGACCTCCAGACCCAAGGACCCCCTGCAGGCACCTTATCACACACCACAGCAGTCAGCACCTTCTTATTCTGATGGCCCATGGGCCAGAAGAGGAGGAGACGCCACTTCTCTTTTGGGTTGAGCTGGGAATCACAAGGGTGGAATTCGGAAGCTCCTGGTGCCACCAGTCAGTACTGAGATCTGGTGACAACTAAGGCCTCTGAATCGATATGTGCTAGAAACTTCCTCTAGGTCTGTGGCCAAGAAGTGGTTCCCATTTCCCTGCTCTGTGTACCACAGATCCAGAGTAAAGCTCCTCTGACAGAGGACCAGGTGGACGTTTAATTCTATGGTAGTATCATCTTTAAAATTTGAAAATATGATTTTTAGGAGTTACAAGAAGTTGATAGAAAAAGGTGATGGGTGGAACAAGAGCTGAGAAACAGAGGAAAGAAGGGAAAAAGAAAAGAAGTAGGAAAGAAGGAAGGAAAGTTACAACTTCTACTCAGAGAGGCAGAGAGAAAATCAGAAAAGAGAACAATACAGATCCTCAGGGAGAAAATCAAAGGCTTCTTCAATTGTGTCAAATGCTGCAAATATGGCCAGGGATTTGGCCCAGTGGCATAAGCACCTGCCTGGCAAGCACGAAGTCCTGGGTTTGAATCCCTGGTAACCCCCCCTCCCCCCATGCTGCAAAGAACTAAAATATATTGATTCATCCATAGATATTTACAGGGCACTTCTGCATGATGCAACTTTACCGTAGCTGTAGATACATCAAGTGAATAAAGGAAACAAGGTTTTGCCCTTAGGAACATCGCATTTCAGGTCAGAAAAGCCTTAGACCTGCCCATGTGGGACCAGCCTGTGAAGAGCTGTTTTATTAAGCATGGAAGACACTGAGACGCTGCTGCTGGGTTGCCCTGCACATCACAGGTCCCCCTACCATCAGGCTGTTGGTGAGTTATCTGCCTTCCTATTGATTTCTTCCTCGGTGATACCATGAAACATGTGAACATAAGCCTTTGTCATTTTGTCTGGATTTCCTGAAAAGTATTCAGTTCCAGGGATTCAGCCAGCATTTTCACTTGAATCCTTGGGAGCCTTTATGCATAGGTCCCGAATTCCTCCCAGATCCTGCTGCTGAAGGCCCGCAGAAATGAGCCCAAAGCAGGGCTCCTCTCTGCTGCAGTGAATGTCACGCACTCTATGAGTCACACTCTCCATGTGCACTTTTAAAATATGTTCGAAGGTCATGATCACAGAGCGTCTCCAGCTCTGTTTCTTCTCAAACTTGCACAAGGCTGGGAAGGCTTTGGATCTTTTCTCAGTGTTCAGGTGAGTGAGGAATAAGAGCACACACGTGTTGTTATCGTGTTTCCTGGGAAGCAAGGCCATGGAACCATGATGAACCACCCCCATCAGTCCTGAGTGGCAGTGCGACCCAGGGGACGGTCAGCACGGTGCTCCTCTCTTTGTCCCTTGTCCAGGACACTGGCAGCTGTGCTGATGGCCCCATGACTCATGGACTCATGAGGAGATGCTAAGGGCCAGGAAAACAGGTCGTTGCCTCTGGTGTGTGTTTTCGGACCAGTGAGGATAACACATCCTCCCCTCACTCACAAACACACTTGGGACAGAAGAAGGAGGCTGTGGGAAGCTCTTCTGTGCATCTTACAGCCTTGCCAGTTGTATCAAAGAGCTCACTAATACATAATCACCGCATACATGTACACGCAATGCCAATTTGTAAGGACACAGGATGCAGCAAAACACACTGAAACTCAGCAAAACTCATTTCTTCATTGATGACTTGGACATATTTGAGGATCAGAAATAACAGTAGGAGAAAGCCTTCCTTTTAAACTTCGTAAGCCAGCATTTGCTGTGTATGCTAGTATTGATCTAGCCAGCTGCATAATGAAGACAACAATAATCCACAACACTAATAAACTTCTGGACCCGCTCAGTTTTCAGTGACTCACATAAGCCAGTGCGGAAGAAACAAACACAGACTCATTAAATGAGAAGTTTCAAAGCCATCTCGCTAACAGTAATTAGCCTGCTGTTTTACTGGGAACCAGAGACTATACCTCCAATAGATAGGAAGTAATGGAGGATGTGTGCCCGAATAAAGGCTGACTGGAAAGGGAGAGAAACAAAGCAAGATGTTAGGAGCTTGCGACTCTCGGCATGATCATTCTCTTGCTGACGATGGGACAGGTTTTGCTCACATGTCTTGCGCTTCCCTTTCTTTGCTCGATTTTGTTTGACAGACAGAATGAATTAAAATGTCCTCTCATATAACTGATATCATGGAGTTAGGGTTTGGTTTGCAACTCACACTTTGCCTCAGTCCACAAGAGGTGCTGGTGGCTAATCTGCCTCAAGTGCCTTCATACCAGCCTGCCTGGGGTCCCTCTGTGGGAGCCCCTCGCGGCTGCCTCCCTGTATGAGTTGCTTAGTGGGCCACCTGAGCTCAGGTCCCCAGAGTCAGTCTATCCAGAGGGAAGGAACCTTAAATCTACCTCAGAAGGAAACAGAGTCCATGGAGACACCAAGTATAATACCTGCCATTTGCTTTGTCAATGGAGAAAGTTTCTGAATAAAAGTGACAGTTGTATACAATGAAAAGATTCCATTTTCTTCAAATCTACAGAGTTACCGGGAATGCGAGGCCATTATCTCTTTGTGGTACAGAGAATGGGATAGAGCATAGTTTAGGGTCTATGGCAGCTCAGTTTTGACATTTTCTGAGTGCCAGAGACAAGGATGGTACTCTCGACCTCCCCTGAGTCAGACCCAGCATCAGTGGCATTAAGAAAGTTACCCTGAGGCGCTGCTGCAGGTGGTAGGACTACAAGAAAGGTGACACGAAAGACAGGACAAGATCGGATGCAAAAGGCCTGAGTTGAGCTGAGCAGGACTTAGACTTACCAAGGGTAATGACGTGGGCCCGGCAGGGCTGTCCAAAGAAATTGGCCTGGCACTCTTGGCGGTGTTTTGGTTTCAAAAACAGATAACCAGGGTGAGCCCAAGGACCCTTGCTATGTTGGCATCAGTCACAATTTAATTCTGTGCATCTCAGACCTTCACTGTCTTCATCCAAAAAGGACAGAGCAAGAAGGAATGTGTTTCCTTTGGTGCTCCCTTTTCTAAGAAAGTGTAAGGCTTTCTCTCCTTAATGATTTGCAATTAAAATTGTGCTTAGTGAGTAACAGCTCTCTTCTGCTGAGGGCACTGGGAATGAGTTAGAAAGGAGTATCCTGGTGTGTCAGTGCCCAGTGCCCACCTCTGCACCACCCTAAGGTCTTCCTCACTCCTGTACAAGGAGCAGGGTGGGATTCCTCTGGTCTCAGCCCCCTGAGTCAGCCAGAAGCCCCACTAAGAGAGCCTCTGTCGGTGGGCCAGCCCACAGCAAGGTCTTCTCAGGTCAGATGGCCCCCCGCCTGTCACCCTCTACATCTTGGGCCTTCAGGTCACTGCCACACTCACTAGGCAGCTCTTGCTGTGTGGAACTGGCTTTGCCCGGCTCCTTTGTGTTTGTCCCCAGGCCCTTCCTTCTCCAGATGGCCCACTTCCCTCATTTCAACTCCTTGGAGGACACGACAACCCGTCAGTCACGGGTCATTCATTTTCCCTGAGAAATCCCACCCCGACCCCAGGAAGAGAACACAAAAGGGACAAAAGCATATTCTGGTCCCCTGGGTCCCACCAAATGATTTCAATAGGGCTTTTGTGGATTTCTTTGAGGTTGATACTGATCTTCGCCGACTCTGGTGCTCTGAGCCAGCATCTCTGGCCAAGGGTACAGCAAAATCCTTTTTAAGCATGTGCATGCTCCTGCCCCAACCAGAGGGAGAGCCCTTCTGCAGGGACTCGAATGGCTCCGCTCCAAGATGTTGAGCCCAGATGTTCTCGGGGGTCAAGCCACTCTCTGATTCAAAGGGGAGCTGGTGCTTTTGTGGTGCTGAGCCGTGGCAGGACTCCAGCCCCTTCACGTGGTGAAGTTCACTGCCTTGTGATTTATAAAATGTCCCCAGTAAAACCAAAGAGTAAAATAAAATAAATCTGTTCCTTATTTACCCTACGCAGTGGAAAAAAATCACCATAATGCATTTCTAAGAATGCTTAATTTTATGTGTGTGCAATCCTAATTATTTAAACACTCGCATTTTTTTGCAAAAACTTTCTCTCCACCAGAAGAGCCAAAAAGTTATTTTCCCCACCCTCATGTCACAAACAAAATTTAATGAATATTTTCTATTAGAATTCTGGAGGGCATTTAACTGTGTGGCGTACATTGTTAAGGAAGTTTGAAAGCTGAAATTTTTTGTCTTCATACTTTCCAGGAAAATGTGAAAATGGACCGACTTTAAACTAATATTAGAAATGCAGGGTTGGGAGGGAAAGACACAGGAAATTCCAATTTGCTTTTCTCCCAGAACCTATGTATGTCTTGAAACAGAACAGGCATATATTCATTCATAGAACTCAACACGCGTAATTTAGTAACTATTTTTATATCCTTGGGAGACACAGCTTTCCTGGACCTTCTATTATGAACCTGGTAGAGGCAGAGAAGCTGGTTTGAGGCAAAGGCAGGAGAGGAAAGATGGCAGAGCCCCCAAATGACTCTGTGAATAACTGGACTCTCCCAAGGAGCCCTGGTTGTACAAGGGAACCAGCATTGAGAGATTAAAAGTGTTAACATACAGTCAGGCTAAGAAAATCAGAGATTTGGAAACCCACAGGAAGAAACTGAAATCGCAGGGAACTCTTAGAGTCTCATTGGCCCATGCAATATCAGTTTTAGGTAACTAACTGTAAGTACAGGGACTTTTCTAGCGTTCAGTTGGGCACATAGAATACTCTATATTTTTTTGAGATGTGAAGCAATTTGAGAACATAAAATCTTAAATGCTGACACCTGGATGATAAGGGAAGGCAATATATGACTATGTGAGAGCGGTGTAATTTATGATATACCTCTGACAGAGGTTCTTCACTGGGGTAATTTTGCGCCCTAGAAGATATTTGATAATGACGGAAGAATTATGAAGCTGTGGTCGCGGTTTGCAGCTGGTAGTGGTATATGTTGGAAAGAGGCCAAGTAGAAAAGTAGGATTCTTAGAATACACAGGACAGCCCATAATAATAAAGAAATATCTGGCCCAGAAATATCCAGATGCTATCGAGAACTATCAGTCTTAGTTTTGAATATGTTCTGGATCACAGAAGTGTTACAGTTTTCTTTTTATGAAGGACAAGGTCCAAAAGGTGTTCATCTGTATTGGTCGCAGCTCCTAATGTTGGGGAAAAGCACTCAATGTCCCTAATTTAAAAGAAGAGAAGTTTAATTGTGCTGAGGGTGTGAGAGGTTTCAGTCAAGCACTATGACAGAAGCATAACTACGGCAGAGACTGGCCGAGCAAACTGCCCAATTTATGGTGACCAGAAAGTAGAGTAAGGGGACAGTGCCAGGAAAAAAAGGAGGAGACTGGGGGCAAGATTTGACCCCAAGATCATACCTTTACTCCCCACCCAGCATCTCCCAGAGAGCTCCTGTGCCACCCACGGTGTTAGTCAAGCTTAGCTATAAGAATCTATCCTTTATCAACTTGACACCCAAACACATCTCCTGAAACCACACTTAGTCTCCATACAAAGACGTAAAAAATTCATAACTCCACCTAAGGTGATACAACTATCCTGTGTACAGTAAAAAAGGCAACGATCCCTTACAAGTTCTACAATTGCAGTATAGCTCAGAAGTCCAGGTGAAAATTTCCACTGTAAGTAAGGCAAAGTCTTAGTTGTGAACTTCTATAGGAATCAAAATAAGTTATTACACTATCTCCAGTGTGCAATGGTACAAAATGAACACTGACATTCTAAGTGGGAAGAACAGGGGGACAGAGTGAAATAGGGCCAAGGCAAGACTGAAGGTCAACAAGGCAAACATTAAATTACATAGCTTCATGTCCAGCATGAGGAACATGGTGGAGAGATACGAGTTCCACAGGGCTTTAGTGGGCCTACCTAGTGTCTTCCCTATAGAAGCCCATATGGCCTCTTCCTGGGACTGGATCTGTTCCCTGCCTATGGCTTTCACAGGTACACAGTACGTGTTCCTGGAATCTCCAACTTGCTGGGGGTTGCAATGAACCTTCAGCTTCATTTCTACAGCCTCATACATTACCTTCTCAGAAGTTCCTTGCTTAGCATTCTCCTGTGTGATCTATTTCAGTGGCCCGCATCTGACACCAATGGCAGAGAGGAAACTCTTGAGTAACTGTGACGGCTTCCATTCGTGACACCTCTGTCTGACCAGATTCATAAGTGATACCAGTAAACTACATGTAACACAAACAGACCCGCAACAAAACACCGGCATGCAGAGAGCTTAGGGTCTCACACCCACAGAAAAACACTCGGCTGTGGAAATTATCACAACTGCAAATGACTTGGTGGACACGGAAATTAAGGACTATTAGGGTGTTTGCATCAAAATTACTCAAAGGTCAGAGCAAAGTTCTACAAAATCACTGTGTCACTCACTACTCCAACTAATGTAGTGAGTATTTAATTTATCTCCCTTTTAACTGAATGCCTTAATTTCTCACAGATCTGCCTTTATATTGTTGATACTGTCGTGTCGAGTGGCTTTAAAAATTTTAATGTTTCTCTAAATCATAAGAAATTTTGTCATTTGCAAATAAACATACGATCTCTGACTATAAATCCTTATGAAGACGTGTGTGCTTGTAAATAAGGAGGGCATTAGAAACTGCAAAAGAAGGCTTACCTGGCAGGGGAGACACCCTGATCATGAAGTGGTCTTCCCAGGGTGCGGCTCATCCATTGGACCATGGATGTGCTGACCCCTGCGATATCCCCAATGAGGAGAAACTCTACTGCTTAATTTGTGGTATTAGGGGACTGCATTGACAATTTCCACTGGGGGGGAAAATACAGAAGAACTTGGTAGGTTACCTTAAAAAAAAAACCTTTTATTGATTTAAAGAAAGAAGTATATAATTTAATTATTGAGCTCATCCTGTTTCTCTTACATTTTTCTCTCAATTGTTTTTTAATATTCATTTAAAAATTAAGTATAAATTTTCTGAAATAAATTCTTTTGTTTTTAAAATTCTATATTACACTCTTTTGCCTGGAGTACATTTACGCAGGATTGGTTCCTAAGTTTAGCGCTTAGTGTGCAAGGTGAGAGCTAATTCTCTCACACTCTGCCATTAATCCCCCTTGCTTTGCACGAGCTTCTCCCTTGATTCCTGCCACTAGCTAAAGTGACGCAGGAAGTCCTCTTTTGTGTTTTTTCCTGGCTGCTTCAAATGTCCTTGATCAATCAAAACACTTATGGCCATTTCTGTCAAATAAAAGCCTTACAGTTACACCGTGTCATCATTTCCTTGTTCAGTGGGTCTGGCATCGTGTGACTTCTTGGCTCTTCCCTAACTCAACGTGGCCGTGAAAGCTGAACACTGGCGAGGGATTCAGGACACGGAGGCAGCTAGGACGCCACAGCTAAAGACACTCCTGCAGGAGGACTTGCAGAGCTGCTCACAGTGGCAAGAATGGGGGGTGAGTGCAGACACAGTGAGGGAAATGGATTATTTCGAGTGGCACTCATGGCCATATATCTTCACCTTAATTAAATTTAAACACTCACCACAATTCCCAGTCACACCTCAAAGACAAAACTAATACAAACATAAAACAGGAAAAATGACACTTGTGCTGTAAGTGTTTTCGATTGTTGCATGTCACATGAGATCCACCCTAACAGCGCACCTGTGTGGAACGACTGCTGTAGGCGTGAGTCTCAGGGCAGTTGCAGTTCTAAATTCTAAATTTCAAAATCAGAATCTGAGTCATGCTAACCGACAGAACGAATGAAGGGCATGCATGTGTGGACCAAAGAGAAAGATCATATTTACTGGCATTGTGGGTCAAATTATCTTTACTTCCTTTGCACTTAGCTACGAATGAGTCCTGATTTTATCTGACAGACTAACATACTTAATCGTGGGGTTTGACTGCCGTCAGCCAAAAACTGCAGCACACACATCTGATACCTTGATGATGCGTCATAAATGTAACTGCTCTCTCTTAGTACTGGCTTCCCTTGGCTCCACGCTGGTGTGTCTTAATGGCAATGCCAGGTGATAACATTGTGTCTATCACTTAAGACTAAGTGCTTATGACCTTTTCTTCCAAAATATTCAATAAAGGCACACGTACTCATGCATGGTGCTTGGTTCAACTTTTAGAAGTGATCTCATACTGAATTTGTATTGAGTCCAACCTATCAATCAACAACTAACAAAGATAATCAATCTGCCCTGTTGTATTCTAATTATACTTTGTTTTCCAATCTCTCTTTTATTTTGGTAAAGCTAAGGCACTATCAAGCAGCATGTGAATTCATCTTCCTGATTTCTACACTAAATGTTTCAGGAAGTGTGCTCAGCACCCACCAGCACAGGTTTGAAGTTACTTCACGTGATCCTCTCCTGATGCCCTGTTCACTTAGGAACAAGACAGGTAAGGAGAGCTGAGCTCATTGCAAATTAAAGGTAGAAAGGTAAAAACTACGATCTCAAGTGGAATCCTCAACTATAAATAGATCAATCTGTAAGACTGTTGTAAGTTGCAAAAGCAGCTTTTATGCAGTTATTCGCATGAGGCAGATTCACACAAGATATAAATTAAAATCCACTTTTTACCAAGGGGTGGTTTAACTGCTTTCATGGGTATCTATAAATTTATAAATTCGTGGTCAAGGGTGGAGTGTCTGTCCCTGAGAGAATGTGTTTATATGTGCGTGCGCGTGTGGTTTTCCTCTCTTCTGGTCCCTAACCATCCTGACCATGCATCTCATAAAGCGCCCAAGCTTGATCTCTTCCTCCCTTTCACTGTTGTTTGCAAATCTCTAAGCACTGATTCTGCAGGATAGGGTGCAACTGAGTTTATAGGCCTGCGTTTACGTGAGTTAACACAGAGAGTCCATGAATTACGTTAAATAGGTGAGGTCTTTAGGATGATTGGGGGCTTGGAGCAGGTAAATTAGGTGAACTATTTAAACTATTTCAGTGTTTCCCTTCCTTTTTATGGCTATTTAAAAACAGGATTTGCTCCCCAAAGGCAAAAATGAATCTGCTTAAATTTATAGCTGTGATGGCTTAGGAGCATCGTTGCTTTTGAAAGGGAGAAAGAACATATGCATACTGTGGGCTCAGTGTGCTCCAGGCACAGATGATCCGCATGTGCTGTCCCCTGCGCTCCCGTGACGCCCTCTGGGTAGTAGTACTGCATACTCTGCTCAGGTGAGTCAAATGAAGGTGAGAGAAAAGGCCACTTGCCAGAGCGAAAGCAGGCTGGTCTTTGACTTTCAGTGATTACAGGCAATGTCAAGGTCTCCGTTTCCAACATCCAGACCCTTTACTGCAACCGGGAATTCCATGACTGTTTGGAATGGCTCTACCTTACAGTGATGTTTTTACTTAATACCCCAGGGCACGTTTATAAAAATGATTTTAAGGTCTGCATTCACTTATTCAAAACACATTTATTATGGTGTATCTGTTTATTGTACCCATGAGATGCCATCTTCAAGATCCTAGATTTGAGGTATCCAGGAAAATGACTACACTGCTACTGTATGTTGCTTGAATTTGGGTGAACACATCAGGTGTGTGAGGAATCCCTCTGTTCCAGTGAGACAGGTGGCGCTCACTCAGGGGAGAAGGCTAACTCAGCAGTGGATAGAGGCATCTGAGCTGTCCTGGTGCATTTGTGTTGGAGGGTGACGTGGAGGAATTCTGACCCAGCCCTGCTACATATTTGCACACCTTCGATTTTTATTCTTTCCCACACAATCCATTTTCTGCTGTACAAACTGTAAGTTACTTTTCTCAAGGAAACAACAACGGTGTCGGGATCAGTGAGCCAACTTTGTGATTAGAAATCCTAATCTCTGTTTCTCTGGCTTTGATTTCCTCCCTCACTTCAGGCTCCCGGTGTAATCTGTTTGCCTTGGTTAATTATGTGCAGGGTGCAGGTTACCTAAGGATGACTGCAGCACATAACTCATTGCTGGTTGCTGCATCTTTGAAAATGTGGCATTCAGCATGCACAGTAAGCACAAATTGTTATCGTTATTAACATTGTCATTGTCTCTAGTGTTGCAGGAGGCCTGCAAGAGGCCCTCATGCTTGTTTTCCAGCTTCAGTTTCTCTTCTCACCAGCTGAGAGTGTCTGAGCCTCACTGCAGGCAGAGGAAATGCAGCAAGTTCTTTCTGTCTGTGGAAGAATCCAAGTCATCCCCTGTTCCTGCTCCTTGGCTCTTTCTACTCTTCTGATACAACTTTCCACCTGATCCTTACCCAAATACACACACATACATACATACATATGCATATATAAACATATGTAAGCATATATAAAAGCATGTATATATAAAAGCATATTTTATATATATGTATATATGTATACACACATCTATCTATCTATCTATCTATCTATCTATCTATCTATCTATCTCTATGCATGTAGGGTTCTTCTAACCAGCGGGCTGTCTCTGGGGCTCGGGCAGCTCTAACCTCTCAGCCCCCAGCAGTGGACACTGGGAAACAGAGGCCAAGGACCCAGAGTCGCAGATCTGACCTCGGTGTGAATGAGCCCTTCTCTAACGAAGCCGTGCGATGTGCCCATATGAATGAGGCCTCTCTTTGAGGAGAGAAAACTTCAGGAAGCTGCATAAACATCATTTTTGAATATAGTTATGTGGTAACTGGTTGCTAAATAATTATTTGACTTATTTAAATCTACTGTTTCAAAAAGACTGCTCATTATGACTGCAAAAATGACTGTATCATTTCCAGTGATGCCCTTCTCTGTTCCTAAAGAAGTTTGATTTTCATTTTGGTTTATCTCAACAACTGTTACATATTCTTAGTGAATCACTAAAATTTTCCTCCATTTAGATAACTTCTCTAACTTAGTCCCCCCCCCCAATACTCCATCCTTGTCTGTTATTTCTTTGATAATTGTTTACATCTATTGCTTTCTTTTACCGCCTTTTCAAACACCTACACAGTCTTTACAGAATTTAATTACACATCCCTCTGGGTGAGAAGAGAGAGGTATTCATCTTGGTAACCTCTTAAGTGCTCAGGTCAGACCAGTGGAATTGGGACTGAAGGCATATTAATTTTTCCCTTTTTTAGGAATTTATTTGGGAGCATCGTGGCATCCCCCTTGAGCAGTATGGAAAGACTGCTGCAACCCTGCCTTCCACCGCTGGGAACATGGCTGGATCACTCCCCATCTCTTCCTGTGATTCAGGAGGGCCAGGGTGGTACCACAGACAGCACGTGTGCTGCTGCTGCAGTGGCCTGTGAGAATCTCCTCCACAAAGGCCCTGCTTACCTGTTAGCAAGTTGAGTAAAAGCCAGATCCAAACACCTAAGTCTGCAGAGAAAGCCAAGGCCTTCCGTGTCCATGCAATCTGCAGGGGAAAAGAGACCCAGGAGGAAGTGGCCAGAAGACCCATCATGGCCATTGCATGAGCAACAAACAATCTTCTGTAATTTGAGAAGTTTTTGCTACCAAAGCCTAAATTGACCTATGACAATCACCTCAATATTAATATATTCAAAAGTGGAACTCATTTCTTTCCTCTTTCTTCTCCAAAATCCAGCACAGTTGCAAGCCTCATCTAGACATCTTCAAACTATATTTCAAAACCCCATCTGTCTGCCAGTTTCTCCCATTTTTCTGCATTGTCTCTATGCACACACACAGATGCCATCGTTTCTCACCAAGGCCCTTGGGCTGTGCTTGCTGGTCCCGCCCCTGCCCTTTCTGCCCTCACCCCAGCCCACGATGCTGGCATCAGGAGGACCCGCAGGCTCACACGTGCCAAGCCAGCACGCTGCCTGCGAGCCAGCCCCAGCCTGCTCTTCTCATTCCTGCTAACCACACTGTAACCAGGGGCGTCTTTTTAAAGCACATCTTAAGACTTATCAGCGAGTTAAAAATCCTTCCGTAGCTCCTCACTGTATGAAGAACAAGGACTAAAAACTCCTGACATTCCTTCCAGGACCTACGCCTCACCTTAGGTCTCTTTTCCAAACACCTGCAAAGATTAGTCACCTGGAATTCTTTCACTGTCTCTGACAAACTAAATTCTTTCCTCCAGCAGGATCTTCCCCAGCACAGACTGGCTGGCCTTGAAGCTTTTCCCCTTATTCTCCACATGACCAGCTGTCTTGTTCCCTTTACGTTACCATTTGATTATTCTTTTCCCTGATCCACGTACCCAAGAACACAGCTACCCTCTGGTATCCTTCACTGCAGTGTCTTGCTCTTCTCCATGTAGATAACTTCTAGAATTTCGTATTAATTCCTACAGAAGACATGAACTTCAGGTCACATAGTCAGAAATGCAAAATTCTGGCTCTGCTTTACTTAAATAGATGCAATTTCCTTTTCTGCCTTGTATCAAGTGTTTATTCTATAGGTAAATTGACTAAGATATAGGTTCCAGATGCCGTAACAAAAATTTGAAATAAAATACTGAGTAAAGTATTTATATTAGACTTGATGAGATTTGTATATTAAAAGTTTGCGCTTTTTTTATCACTGTGAGGGGAAGTAGCCATGATTGGTGACGGAGTTTGAAGTTCACCAGAGTTTTGTCACTCTGTCCTCCTTCACACAGGCTTTTGTGTTTGAGTTCAAGACACAAGGTTAACTAGACGGGGTGCTAGATGCTCACCGTGCATGGCTGAGGTAAAAGCTACATAGGAGGAACCAGCCACGAGAGACCCGTATTCGATTTGAGTGTCTGTAACATTCATGCTCAGTGTTGTTGTCTCAGTGTATATAATGGAATAGCCACCAAATATCCATTATACTTTCTTGGGTTTCCTTTTTAAGTTTCTTCCATTTTTCTTGCATTTCATTTTCTTTTTTAAAAGAAAAAAACACTAAAATGTTTTTAGAGGAAGGATTCCATTTTTTGCCAATAGAAAGAAAATTCTAGAACTTCTCAGTACATTTACACTAATAATGAAATACAGAATAATATCTGAATAGACTGTCTAATTTATTAATCTATAAATGCCAAAATGATAAGCAAAAGTTCCTAAACATGCAAAGCCTAAGTATGAGGATTATTGGCTTATTAACAACCCTAAAAACTATCTGACCTCAGAGCTATTTGTTACCTTTTAGTAAAAAAGACTAAATTCAGAGTTTCCTTACCTCTACAGGAAAAAGTAATAAATGTTTCAGACCACACATGAAGAATAGCTTTTGCTGTGGTTTTTCAAGGTATATTCCTGCATTTAATGATAAAAACAGAAAGCAATTTGAGAATATTTTCCATGTGTGTCCACAATGGAAGCCACAACATCCTCTTTATGGAAGAACCGGAGGTCTCTGAGGCTGAAGGCTGGTTAGTCACACGCATCGTGGAGGGGCTCGCATTATGCATGTGCACACACTCACACTCACACTCACACTCAGGGGCACTCCTCTTTCATGCATGAGGTTTGCTACACTCAAAGTGGTCCCACACTCGCAACTGCTTTCTGCTCCACTTCTGCTTGCCAATTGGATCAGCATGCCCATCTCTCCATCCCCAAATTAAAAAATAATAATAATAACCAAGCAGTACAGGTGCACAAATCATGTGGCTCCTCTGGCACTGGCTAAAACACAAGAGAAAACTGTGAATCCATTATTACACCAGCATTTTTCTAGCACTACAAATATAGCTCACAAAGTGGGAAATATCTAGGAAGCAGATATTTTACAATGTTCCATCTTTGATAAGGTAAAGTAGAACAGTATGTATGTATCAGAAATGAGATTTTTGTCTGTGGCCATTCAACACCAAGACAGAATGCTCTGTTCTGTTTTTGTTCCAAGTTTCTTACGTGTTTTGACCTTGCAGGCACCACCAAGGGAGTGAAAAGAACAACACCTTCCCAGGAGGATTCATTGCTCTAAGAATTTTAACCCAAGATCCAAAGGGTAAAAGCAGAAGCCAGCCTAAGAAGGGAGAGATGGCAGAAGGCTCTGCAAACTTCGCTGAGAACTGTCCTGATTTCAGGGCTGCCCTGAGCAGCGGGCTTGGAGCTGGAGACGACTATCCATTGTGAAAGGAGCCAATCCAGGCTGCTTTGCAAACAGGTGTCATCCCCTGGCAGCTTCTGGTTAGGGACAGGTTAGGCGTCATGCCACGTTTCCATGGAATGATTCTAGCAGCTCCCGAGATGCATGATGTATGATTTCTGTGCAGAAGCAACCTCTGATTTATTAGAGTATAGGTTGGGAAACTGGCCACCTGTACTCTCGTCTTTATCTTCTTTTCCAGATGTGTTTTGTATTCCTGCTCTAACAGATCAGGCTACAATTCTGTGAATACTCACTCCTGTAATTACATACCATGTCTACACTGAGCTGTTCCTCTGGAAACCTGAAAGTACTTTGCAGTCCTTAAGTGACAAAATTGCTTCAAAATACACTCAGAAAGCCGAGGTTCTAGTCAGTAAACAAGAACTCACTGAATTCTTTCCAGGAAAGTGAGTTGTTTTTCTTGGGTTTTACCTGCATATTCATATAGAACATTTTAATTTTTACTCTCCGAGGTGGGAAGTTAAATGGTCACAGAAGTGTGAAGTTGGTCCAGCTAAGGCCAAGATGGGAGCAAAGTTTGGTCAGCTTAATTTTTGGCTACTCCTCAGTTTAGTTCAAACCACATTCATCACTGGTGCATTCAGTTGCATAACTCATTCTTCTGAAGAATGTTTGTCTCTCCCATGCCACACAAGTCGAGCTGGCCTGACTTTCCCAGAACTGAGGGTGCTAGGAGGTAACACGGGCAGAGCCAAGGTCTAGGGTAACACGCGCCTGCCAGGAAACGTGCCTTAGAAGAGAGAGTCTCAGAAGCCTTCTTCTGAAAATGTAAGCTGATACTATTTTATTGAATATGTACACGAGAGAAAAGGATACGCTTCAGACTTAGAGTCTCCTACAGAAAAATGTGAGTTTCTGTCTTAAACAAAATTGGTTAATGTGCCCCTAATACCATGAAAAGAAATCTTTGGAATCCTGAAGCCTGTGATGAGCAAATGCAGAAATTCCACACGCCGTGGACACTGAGGGCAGCCAGGAGGGAAGATTTCCCATCTCATCGGAGGCTCCTGTCTCCAGTTTACTCAATGGCACCGAGCTGTCGCTCCGTTTGCACAGTCAGCTTATAATGGGAAGTCCCAGTTCAGTGAGGTAGGGGAAGGAGTTTGGGGTAAAATATTTTCCTTTCAGGGAACATAGGGGTGCATGTGTGTTTCTGTAAAGTTTGTTGTCACAGAAAAATGCTTTGCTGCATTGGTAAAGGACGAGGTACCATGAAGTTAAGTAACATTCTCCAGCCGCACAGACACATTTATGATGTGTTGTTTTATGGTTTCAGTGAATTTTTTCATTAATTGCTATATGGGAACAAATGGGGTTAAAATGATAAATTAGGACTCAGTAAAGGAAGTTGTTTTTTCCCAGCTCAGTATGCTGGATGATTCCTTCCCACACAGGTGGATCTGCGTATTCCACCCCAGGGGACTTTATCACGGCTTCCTGGGAGTCACTGTGCTAAACCCTAGGCTCCCGTGATTCCTGAAGGATGCCAGAGTTCTACCAGAACATTCTCTGTTATCCACCAGAATCTTTGTCCTATAGTAGCATTGTACTCAGAATGATTTGAAGCCCTAATCCTGAATTCAGTGAGCACAACACTTCTAGAAGGTCGCCGTGACACACGTGTACAGGAAGGTTGAGGATAAAAAGCATGACTCCCCTTTACAGCTGTTGAGAGCCATGTGCCGGGACCACTTGCTCCCCTGGGAGCTTGTCCACACTTGCTGCAGCACATGGCTGAGAGCGAGGTCCTGCGCTGAGTTTTCGTCGACCCTTTGGGTGTGCACAGTGAGCATGGCTGGGATCCCTGCTAGAGGTCACAGCTCAAATCCACGTGAGCTGCACTCCTGGTGTCATCGGGCACATCAGGGGCCTCCCACCCAGGGCTCTCTCTGATTGGCATCTCTACCAGCAAATTCTCACCGGGCAAGCAACTGGTTCTCAAACTTTCTGTTTCACAAATGTGACCATGCCAGTTTTCTAGGAAATCCTGACACATGGCAACAAAACTTACAGTAGGATCCTCTGAAAACACTACCAGTTAACGTATGTGATAAACCATGTGACTCTAGTATGGGCCAGAGGACGAGGATCTATGATACTGTACTGTGTCATGATATGGTCCTGTCTGTACGAGCCACAGGGAAAGTCACATCACAGTGAGAACTGTGCTTGATTAACAGCAAATCAGCTTGGTAGTTACATCCAGGAAGGCAATGGCTAGAAGTGATATGGGGAGATTTCTGGGGTGTTGTCAGTGATCTCTTCCTTGGTAACTGCAAGGGAATGGTTTGGACTCTTGCAAAACAAATGCTATTGATCATATCTATTTCTGCCACATAGATGGATGGATACATGTAATACATAGAGTTACATATGTATTATATATCCATATACTACACATAAGTATATATATATACTCATATGTAGGTAATAGAGATAGAGATAAGAGGCCTAGCAACAGGTGAATGAGTTTCAGATAGATGTAACTGATAAATGTGTTATTGGCTGTCTTAGTTACTTTCTTATTACTCGGCCATAAGAAGTAACATCCACGAGCTAAAGGAGGAAAGGTTTATCTTGGCTTGTGGTTTGTACAGGTTTCGGTCCACAGTGGGCTGGCTCCAGGGCAGGGTAAGCTGGCAGAGGGGCATTGCAGAGGAGTGGCAGGAAGCAAGGCAGGATCAAGGGAGGAGGAGGGATCCTCACCCTCCCAGGCCACACCCACCGTGACCCACTCTTCCCTCCAGGCTCCACCTCCCAACATCACACAGGGCTCTAAACCATCAGTGGACTAATCCACTACCACACCACCATTACTCAGCTGCCTCCCCAAAGCTCCCCCTTTGAGGGCTTGAGGCTTTGAGAACACCTGGATGTAAACTATTACACTGGGCACTCAGGTCTCCAAGTACTCTATGTCCCAAGCAAAGCAATTTTTGTGAAAGGGGTAAAAAAGACTTTATTTAATGGAGGGCCTCTTGTCACCACAGAGCACTGTCTTGCATTGTCATGTGCACAAAGGCTTCCTGCAGGAGGGAGAGGGCACTCACTGAGACACCAGACAGCTCCAGGTTGTGCCAGCTCTGCCGGCGCTTTCCCTCTGCTCTTTTCCCTGTGGACACAGGACCACGGCCTTCTGGGGTCAGGCTGTGTGTGTTGTGAACATTCACTTGGCAAAGAAGAGGGAGTGGTGGGGCCTGTGGGTGAGGAAGTCTGCAGAAGTAGCTTGTGTTAGAGGAGAAATTCTAGCTTTGAAAGCTGTGGATTGCCCTACTGATTACAACAGAGATCTGAAAAGAGAGATCTATATCATCTGCACAAGATCAGAATGTGGAAACCAGAGACCAGACAGAGGGTGAGGCAGAGTCCCCTACTCTCAGCCGACTCAAATGAAGTGCATGGGGGTCCTGGGCAGGCAGAACCAGGGAGCCTCAGAACAGCCAGGCCTGGGGCAGCATGGCGATTCTGAAGGGAGAATGTCCCCATGGGGACAATGGAAGAGGCTACTCGTGTGTAACTGGACACTAGGTGTATGGACAGAGATGGGCTTGTGGGGAACTGAGAGAGGACATTTTAACCACTAGCTCAAGGCCAGTTAGGTCACAGGGAAATTATCTGAACAGGTTAACCTCTTTCGATGGAAAGAGGATGTCAATGGAAATAACACTTGTTTCTTTTTCTTTTATGTCATTTTCTTCCTCCTTTGGCAGCCATTTGGCACTGGAGCAGGTAGAGACTCCTGGATGAAAAAGAACTATAGTGTTTCAGCTCTCGTTGCTGTGATAAATGCCTGAGATAAATGACTTGCAAAGCCAGAGGGCTGATGTTGGCTCACGGTTCAGAGGACTCAGTTCGCAGCCAGTGGGTTCCACAACTCTCAGCCTGTGATGAGACACAGCACGGGGAAGCAGATCCGCTCGTATCATGGCAAGGATATGAAACAGAGAAGGAGGAAAAAAGTAAGGTTCCACAGCGTCCTCACTCCTCCTCTGGGGCCTCTTTCTGAGGTCTACACCGCCTCCCAGTACTGCCAGGGGTTGGGGACCAATTCTTCAGCAGTCGTCCCAAATTCACACCACAGTCCTTCTCCTGTTTACTGTCTAGCTGGTTTTCTTTAAATATTTACATGATGCGAAGAGTTTCAACTCAGCTTAGAATATATAAATGGATGCATGCTAAAAATTTTTTTTGTCACTTAAAATCTGTTGCCCTAGTTTTAAATATGTTCCAAATGAAGCCAACTGTGAAGAGGACATGAAAATCTCTCCTATAGGGTGAAACAAAATGTAATTTCTTTCTTGATTAGATTTGCTCAGAGTTAGGGTCAGACAGCCTGTCGAATATGGAAAATCTTAAAAATCAGAGCTGTCAAAATATGTTATCACTGTGAGGTATACCCCTAGTGTTGTATGAAACAATAGTGTGTTTATCCTCACTCAACTGTGTAAATACACTACAACTTATCCATTCTACTATTGATGGATTCTGGGCTTTTCCAGCCCGGATCTGTTAAGAAGAATACTACCAATAACAGGCTTAAACTTTCCCTTTACGGGACATATGTACACATTTAGGTTTGATGTATGCTTAGGACAGAGCGCAGCCCCTGGATTTTAGGGTTTACATTCACCTTCAGTAGATTACACCAAACAGATGTCCAAAAATGTCTGCAGCAACATAATCCCTACAAAAGCTACATGAAAATAATAAAAGTCAAGTATAGAAGTATCTGAATTGGATGATTTCATTTTACAGAAAATTTAAAACCAGCTAAAATTCACCGACCATGATGAAACTCCAAATAGTGGTCATGGGAGGTCATGACTGAAAAATGGCCTTGGGGGAATTCTAAGATGTTGTTGATCTATTTCTTAGTAGTTTTGGGGGAATCACGTATTAAACATCTGTTAGTATGTAAGCTCATGATTTGTGGACGATTCTGTATGTATGTTATATATTTCAATCAAAATATTGCACTTTTTTATTAGATGAGCTACTTTGCTGGAGGAGGGGACTGACTCAGAATTACTTAGCATAGAAAGGACAAATGGTAGAAAACAAGTATTTTACAGAAGATTCGATGAAATGTCATTTTTAAAACCTCGACCCTTTAAGTTCTAATTGCTGCGGAGGGTCCTGAGATTTCACGCAATCTCACTTGAGTGTTTTCAGTTCATCTGCTCTGAGTCTCTTGTCAGACAAACCTTGGTAGCAGAAAAACACCAGCACTGTCCACACTTCCTGTTCTTACTCCTTTCTTTCATTTTTTAAGCGGTTCCAACTCTTCAATGTGCTGGTGACATGTTTGCTATTTTAGTCCTTCAGTTTTTGGTACATGCAAAAGAAATACTAATAGAAACAAAGAAAAAAAGCAGAAAAAGGATCCCTTTCTTAGGACGTGATACTAGAAATAATTGGATGGCGAAGAATCCCACAATCTGTGCAACACAGGAAAGCTAGCAGAGGGGAGACAAATTCTCAGGAAACTTTGGTGAATTTGGAAATTGGAGCATCACTAAATTTTAAAGTCTTGGTTCAAAGGGACAAAGAAACTGTAAGATTTAAATAGTCTGCATCAAAAATAAACAGCACAAGAGTACAGGCATCTCACTGAAGATTTAACCAGATATCCAAGGCAATTGCATCTTTCTGTGTAAATCAGAGGTGGTGATATCCTTTTATAGGACGGCCTGAAGTTTGTTAGCTGTCTATCTGGAACATAGGTCCTGGTTTTAAATTCTGCTGCCAATTCCTAAAGGAATTCACCCCTCTCTTTTTCTTTCATGAATTTTGTTACTTGCAACCAAAAGACTAGTAGTACTCAACTTGGAAAGTGTTCTAAAGAGAAAAATAACCTCAGAGAAAGTATGGAGTCCCTCATGGAGAATGGAAGCAGGGAGTATTTGGCTATTCTAGAAAAAAAAATTGTAAGTTTTTGGTACTAATTACCTGATTTCTCCCTTGAGATTAGACTTTGTGCTCTTTGAGGCTGGAAGTTTAAGAATTCAGTAGTAAATTGTTAGATTGCCAGAGGTTGACAAACATTTCTTATGACTCCGTTGACCTATTTTGGGAAAGCAAGAAGTTCTTGTTCAGGGTGGCTTTGCAAAAAAACAGAATCAGAAGCAGTGGCACAAGTACGTAATTTGTTGAAAGAAAATCTGAAACTGCTTAAGATCAGATAATCATTGGTGTTTTTGAGCTGCAAAATTTGTTCAACATTTTCTAATAGATGCTGCCTCTGAGGTTGAAGATAGCAAGGAATCACGGCTTGAAGCAGAGATTCATGGGTAGAGGTGGGTCAGAGGACTTCAAGTTTGCGTCTTCCTGGGTCCCTCCCAGGGGCCCCCAGCACTTATTGCTCACAGCTATGGCAAATGGCTATGCTCGGAAATGAACCATGATAATCACTCTGTCTCGATCTGTGCTCTCCAATATGGTAGTCATTAGCCACATGTGGCCACATAAATTTAAATGAATTAAAATTAAATGAAATGTAAAAATTCACTTCCTCATTGGCACTAGGTACATTCCATGAGCTCGGTAGCTGCGTGCAACTAGCGCCTGCTCTATTGAATAACACAGGACCCAAAAGATTCCTATCATTGCAGGAAGTTTTATTCAACAACCATGATCCAGAGCAAATCCGTTTATGAGGAAAAATTTCTAGCTGCCCCAATCCAGCCTGCCTGGTTTTATTTATGCTCTAAACTTGATGATTTTAACAGAAATTAGGGGCCTGGACAGCAGTTGGGGTTTGTAGTTCAATCCTGACTATGTGATGTGGTGAGATTCAACTCAGCATGCAATTTACAAATGGATACACTCTAAATGGTATATACATATTTTTATCCCTTACACTGTTACTCTAGTATTAAACTTATTCCAAATGAAGCTAGTTCTAAGTAAATGATGGAAATTGCTCCTGTAGAATGGAAGCAAAATTAAATTTCTTCTTTATTAGATTTGTTCACAGACTTAGAGTCAGACAGCCTGTTGAATGTGGAGAATCTTTCAAGAATCAGACCGGTCAAGATATTTTATTATGTGAGATTCGTCATTTAGCAATTTCTTAAGCTGCTAAGGAGCAAAGCGATGGCAGTGGGTGGCAGCCACTCAAGTCCTCGTAGTGTAGTAGTCTTGTGCAAAGATGTTCACGTCATGACGAAAAGTCGTGTTTCTCGGTGTTTGGGCAAACCATGATCCCCAAAAATGAGCATTGAGATAACTGAATAACTAACTCAGAGAAACCTAAGAGGGTTCTACACTTCTTTCATCTCTGGTGCTGAAAATCCAGAAGAAGGCTTCCCAGGGGTTTGATCTTGGGAGTGCATACTGACCACCCAGGACTTGTTTAATCATCACAAAGTTTGTGCCTGTCTAATATATATCTTGGAACTACTGTCCAAAGTGTGATCTATGCCTGTTTCTAAGTTTTTAATGGATGTTTTCACTGCTTCTATCTTTTCTCCTCCATTCTTATATTCTGCGCTGCATTAGGAAGAGAAATATATTCAGCATATTGGTTAGTCTCCTCACGAGGTATCTGGATATCACTGAGCCATTGAGAGGAAGAGTCCAGGTTGCTGCATGGAGGACTCATCATTCTGCACCATTGACGGGATGCAGTCTTAAGTTGTCAGCAAGGAGTCCTAAAGAATTGGCATGAAAAGGGGGGTGTTAGAGGGAGCCACAGGATAGAGTATATATGATAACTTTTTGGTTTGGGCTAATTTCAGATTTGTCAGAACATAACTTCTCTAGGGATAGGGATCTAGCTCAGCAACACAGCCCCTGCCTGGCAAGCACGAGGCTGTGAGTTCAGTTCCTAGTACAAACAAACAAAGAAGAATAGAACATGATTGCTGCATCTATTTTTGGCTTTATGTGCTGTGGCCCCAAGTTCATTGCCCAAGTACAGTGGAGATAGTCCAAGGTTTTTGCCAGATCCCGCAGAGCTGATCACTGGAGGGACAAACACCTGATCTTGGCATGGTGAAGTAAAGCACAAAAGTCAAGAATGTGATGATGACAATACTTCAGGAAAAAAGAACAGTGTATTGTGAGCCAGCACACCCAGCTCCACTTATTTTTAGGGATTGCTTTCCAGTTGGGACTACTCAGTTTATCTTCCTGGCTCTGAATGTCTTTATATGAAAAAGGAGGGCATGGTACTATTGTACCAATTTTTCTAGTATGTATGCTATGAAATATTAATGAGCACCGAGCAAGGGGAAAGCAAAGTTACCGGCGCAATCTGAGTTTGCAAAATTTCTTTGCCATAAGACTTCTCGGAACATTGAATATAATTTGCATCAAGCCTCTTCTCAAAAGCCCTCAATATGCAATACATCTTGAAATTCTTTGACATTAGCCCTTTTATCGGTAGGGTTTTCACGGACAATGTTTCCACAGAGTGCATTTAGAGAAACGTGCGGTAAGACCTTCCTGAGAATCTTTTCGCTGCTCTGCAATGCCATGAAATCCAGGATCACAGTATTCCCTGCCTAGGGCACAGCCCAGCAAGGAAGACATCATTTAATGCTGGCACTGCACAGTTTGAAAACGGTTCCTCGTTTCCCTCAAGTCTTGTAAGGCACCCAGAAGCAGTGCTTGCCAGTACCCATCAGGCAACTGAACTTGAAACTGGGCGGGCCTGCTGGCCGGGCGTGGAGCCATAGAGATGGCGCGTGCGTTCCTGGGCTCCTTTGCCATTAGGCACGCAGCAGCTGCAGCCTGCGGCTGAACTGTTCCTCAGCTTAGCTGGGCGCGCATCCAGCACCCCGAGAGGATGTAGAAGAGAGAGGCGGGCAGACAGTGGACACCCCTCAGGGACCACAGGACAGGGAGCAACTGCCTCATCCTTCACTAACCCTAGAGTGCCTGCCCAGGGTTCGGGCAGTTGAAGAAATCCGAGAGGCTTCCCATCCCTTCACTCAGCAGAGACCAGGCATCTCTGGCCACTGGGTTGTCCATTCCTACTCCATAGAGACACACTAACGGGAAAGCAAGTCAGTGCCCCGGGAGCCACTACATGGGCAGAGAGACTCCTTTATTTCACTTTAAAATGTGGCTTCCCATAGCTCTCATTTGTTGGTTTAGTTCAGTCTTCTGGGGCTATTCAGAAGAAACTTAATAAATTTTCACATGAGAATCCTAAAACTGAGAAGCCTGCAGCCTGCAGCTTTGTGGATCTGATAAAATCGTGCCGTGCAAACGTCTCTGAAAATGTCCGATGGCATAATAGGCCATCAGAGCACACTGTGTTCAGCATGTTTTCAACCTTTTGTACCACTTTAATCTCTCAAAGTTTGGGCACACAATTGTCATCTAGGTAATAATCTAACAGAATTACAGAATGTCTATGGAGCTACACTCAGCAGCCCATGTAACCTAATGCTTTTGTTATCGTATGGGCAAACATGGTAGTTGACACTGAGCTGTCAGACAGAAATCCCTGAATATATAGGCAGCAGCTGAAGTCAGCCTACCCGGCTAGCAAGTTACCCGCAAACACGAGACCCTACAATGAGCTCCGGCGTGGGAGGCCCTCAGGAGGGCCCAGCTAGGGACCAGAGCTTGGGCACTATTTGATCTGGGGCAGACTCTGTCACAGATATCGATTTCAGCAAATGCTGTGAGATAGGCATATCATTAACTTAGTAACATAATATTTAGGTCTCTATGGTGTTTTCTTGAGTGTCTAACATGTGTCTGAGCCAGTGAGAAGATACTTTGTTAGATGAATCATCCTAAAATTTGCAGGGAGCTACAGAGCTTTCAAACATGTGAACCTCAGAAACTGGATAAGCTTTAATCAATCTGTTTGAAGTTTTTCCATGATCGCTTTATACTCTAATCAACGTTAAACAAAAAAAATTAAAATGTTAATTTAAGTGCTTACTGTTACATGGAAGCACTGC